TATTTTTATTAGGCGAAATTTTCTGCGACGAACGAATTGAATGGCACATAAACGATTTGGTCTGAAGTTATTCGAATCGGTAAAAACGTAATCTAACAATCTGACTAACTGTTCTATTATCACGCCTATGTCTCCTAATTGGTTCGATTAATCGTGGTTTCATCGCATTCATTTGTACTAAAATTAAGAATTAAAATTAAGAATTAAATTCGATAATGCCTTGAAACGAGTACTATCGAAGGAGACGGAATTTCAAAGTGGTTATTTCGATCAATTAAGAAGGAAAGCTTGCCATGATGGTGTAAAAACGTGACTCGTAACCAGTCTGAATTAACCCGCTTCAAAACAAAGTGTCTCAAAATTATTGCACGAGCGAGAAATGAGAGGTTCCTGGGATCATTTGAAGCAACTTTCTCCTTAGCGAAAATGCAATCCGAGGCTACGTTTGCGAGTTATTAACGAAAAACAGCGACCAATGAGAGGCGAGATTAACTAGCGCGAAGCAACCGAGCCAATCAGCGTAACTGGGCTCCGTCCGCTCATTGGCTCGGCCGTCTCGCGTCAGCTAATCTCGTCTCTTATTGGTCATCGTTTTTCTTTAATAGATCTTAAACGGAGCCTCGGATTGCAATCTCGCTAAGGAAAAAGTTCCTCCAAATAAGCTCAGGAACCCCCCCATTTCCCGCTAGTAAAATAATTTCGGGACACCCTGTATATCCGTCCATCCTCGCCTAGCAACCGGTTCCACCGAAATGACTTTTACTATCTATCGAATATCAGGAAAACGGCGGCGGGGGCGGGGGGGGGGGCATACGGCGATGCATAAAAAATCCAGTTTATGGCGTCTGTTAGGACCCTACGATATCCTGCACGTCCTATTCCCGCCTGGCGACGTCTTTTTGACGGCTATACCGCTTCCTGTCGCTGCGGACTACCAACCGTATTCAAGAGTAAAGACTCGCTCCCGACCCTAAATAAACCGAATAGCGCGTCGCTAAAAAATTTAGTTGTCTAGGAAGCATAAACAGCGGCGTATAACCGTTTCAAAACGGCTGGCATAACTAGAACGATTACCTGTGTGTGCTTGCTAAGTGAGGGGAGGGGGGCAAATTGAAATTTTTCTTCGCGAAACTTCAAGCATCTGAGATTAAACGCGTTCGCTCTTTCCTTATTGGCCTATTTGCAGTAACTTCGCTCTAATTAACGCTCAGATTGTCCACAAAAATGGACAATTTGGGAAGAGAATCGTTGCGCGAAATAGAAGTTTTCTTCTATCGAGCGCTTTAAAATAAAACTGGACCGGACGAGTAGTTCAGAGCAAACGTGGTTGCGAGTCAATTTTTGGCTGGGACGATTTAATAGCGCCGTTTGCAAGCTGTACCTTCGTTTTATTTTCTGTAGAAGTTGGACAGGTACATGTGTCTCCGTTCGTTTCTCTCTGAATAGCGGAACGAATAAGAACTGTTTACAATAATGTCTACCTAATTGACGCTCAGATTGTCCACAAAAATGGACAATTTGGGAAGAGAACCGTTGCGCGCGCGCGCGCGCTCTCGCAACGGCGAGGACCAGGAGGACTACACTCCGCGACAAAAAGATAACAGAGTACAGCACGGTTTATAGTTAACGCGACTATCGTTTATTTAACGTTGCGACCGAGCGTCCGTTTTTTATACAGACTTGCCGAATACAAGTAAATTCTCCCTAATTGACCCTCAGCTCGGAAACGAAAATGGACAGAGAACAATGGAAAGAGGAGATACGATTATTCGATAGCCTCGCGGCTCGTTCTCGTAGTTGTTGACGATCGGTAACTGTAAAAACGAGCTCGAATAATCGTATCTTCTCCTCCGAAATTGTCCATTTTTTTTCGTGGACAATCCGAGATCTCAATTAGGGAGAATTTACTGTATTGTTTAACGCGCGCGCCCGCGGCGAGCGCGGATCATGCAAATTGAAATGTTACCAGGCGTGCCACGGCGATCCGAACTCGTTGTTATCGTACGAATCGAAGAACGAATCGTTTCATGAATGTTTCTTCCAATAATTCGCCGTTGTATTTTTACCGGACCGGCGATGTATTTACAAGATTGTGGTATTGTTTCAGGAGATGAAAGTTAACTGGGCGACCTCTCCGGGAAACCAACCAAAACAAGACACTAGCAGTGAGTACCTTGTAATTTTTATAATTCTGCCGCTGTGTCGTTTGAAAATATTAACGACGCTCGACACGACGGCCGATTTTCTGAGCACTGTGTAAATACATATAAATTTCGAAACGACTGAACTCTCTTTCTCGTGAAAATACAGAACATTATGAAAGCGGCGTGCGATCGAAGAAGTCGCGATTATTACACGATGGTTATTATAAACGCGAATCGAAAAATATTCCATCGTCGACGCGCGGCGAATTATTGTAGCAAGACATCGTTCTGTACCAGCGAATACAGTTTACAGTGAAAATATATATATATATATATATATATATATATATATATATATATACATTTTTTGTAATAAAAGTTCAGCTTAGGTGCTCTCATGTAACAATAGAATTTCTCATCTCTCTTCGATTAGAAACAGAGAAAATTGAATCAGTCTTGAATGAACTTGAATCGAAAGAAATTCTACGAACGATAAACGGGAAATTAATAGTACGCATTTTTAAGAAAAAAATGCATACATTCAACACATAATAAATCTTAGGTTACTTCGTCGTTTCACGAGCATCAAGATTCTACAAAATTTTCTACCAACATTCTGATGAAGAATAATGTGTTGTCATTCTACCGTGTCCGTCGTAAATCATCGGGGGTTTAAGACTCATTAGTACTTCTCGGAAGCACTTCTTGATCTACAAGAGTCAACAAATTTTTCATTAGACTCTAATCCCGGAGCTTCGGCTACCATCTTTGTGAATCTGTATCGTCTTTTAGCTGGATCAACGAGATATACTGTTCTATCTCGAGTGATCGAATATCATCTTATTCCTAAAAAAATACTCGAAACATTGATGACAGTATGGTAGAATTTTATTTCGACTTAACATACGTGAGTAGTAGATCGTATTACAAATCTTCGCAACTCTCTGACACGACATCATAGGGCAAAGGGTTCACAAAAATAACACCAGAACAATTGTAGGAGATATTTAATTTCCTTGTCTCAGGCGAAATAGTTTATAAAAAATGAGCTAGATGATTCGAAAGTTCAGGCTTTGGACTTTCGAACGAGCCTAAGCAGACTATCGTACGATTTTTCCCCTCGAAGTTATGGCAGTTCAAATACATCAACGATTCAAGGATCCTTCGATTTTGCAGATCACTGCATAATTTTCGAACAATTTCAGGCAAAAATGATGATCAATCGAAATCAATAATAATAATAATAATTCTTTTAATATACCATCAAAAAAGTAGACTACAAAATAGATTAGAAGTAACTTTACTTTCTTATCTAATACAGAATTTGCCGAATAAACTTTCGTTGAAGCAATAGCTGCACATAGATGTTACGTAATTAAATACATTTGAAATGCTACTTCCATATGCAACTCCTATTCCAAAACAAGTTTATTTTCCAAATTCTGCAGTAGATGAGAAGACACGAATATCAACAGTCTATTTACTATTACAAAAATCTATTTCCCCAAGTCGTTATACAGTAAATTCTTCCTAATTGACGCTCCCTAATTATGCACGAAAATGGACAATTTCGGAAGAGGGGATACGATTAATCGAGTCTCGCACCTCGTTCTTACAATCCTCGACGATAGATGACCACGAGGCTCGAATAATCGTATCTCCTCTCCCGAAATTGTCCACTTTCGAAGCTGACGGAAAATTCGGGAGAATTTCCTCGGAAATGTGACTTACGCCGATACGATTCAAAGCCACCGGAACGTCTCCCAGGGTATCAATCAACGACCGGCCGCTTAACATCGAAAGATCCGCGTGTCCCGCACGGTCCGCCGAAAGGGTGAACACGTGTAACCCGGCTCCATTATACATGCATAGTAGCGAGCGATGAGCGGGTGTGCGTGTTTGAAATTCAGTGAGGGGCAGCAGCAATATTTAACTCAGTCTGAAATTCCTCTTTTTATAGACTTGTAAAACCGTGAAAGGCACATGGGACCCGATCCTGGCCGACCCCACCCCCGTCCCGTCGCCTTCGCCCGTGTCGTCCTACGCTCTGTCTCCCTTTATCCCGCTTTCTGCCGCTTCCGAAGCGGTTAGAGACGGCGGTCCCTGTATCTCTCGTCGTTCTTCTCGCCGGCTTTTCCATTGCCGGACCCCTCCCGCGCCGTCCTCGAGCCCTCCGCCCTCGAGCCCGTCGCCCCTTCGTACCCGGCGCTCCCTCCCCCCCACACACACCCCCGATCCTTTTTCGAAGCCGTACGCTATACCTCCCCGCGGACAAATGCAAAACTAAAACGCGCACCTTTCCCCCATTCTCTGTGTAAATACGGCCCGGGAAACTACTGCACGGTCGTTGAACGGGGTAAGCACACTTTTTCCAAGCCCCGTACGCCCGCCCGCGGCACCCGCGCACCCTCTCCGCGATCGCATTCCCCGTCTACGAACAGCGGATACCTCTGTGCGGGCTGTGGCCGCAACTGAGACGGGGAATACCAAGGCGGCGAAGGCACACGGTTATTTTACTTTTCCTGGATGGGAATGCGAGGAATCTCTGGTATATATATGTATATATATATGTATATGTATATGTATATATATGTATATATGTATATATCGGCGGCACACCTGCGCATCCAGCAACTGCGACTATGGCCGCGCCACGCCGAGCCACCGAGTGCACATGTATATTACGCGAGTTTATTTCTGCCCGGCGTACCTCACCGCGCACACACTTTCGGAAAACCAAATCTCTGTAGTCTTGTAAGTTACGCCGCGCCGGAACATCTCCGTAGCGAGCTTGCGAGCCCGGCTTTCTGACTGCGCCGCAGTTTTCTTTGTTTCGAGAATCGCTCCGGGGCCCGTCCGATCTCGGCTCGCTGTTCCCCCCAAGCGTTGCTCGTCGCGCCAAACACGACGACCACTGAATGCGATCAGCGTCCGTTGCTTTGTAAGGACGAATTCGTTCGTTCGATCGAATTTATTTAGAGATTTGTCCGGTTTTGTTAGAGTCTGTGATCGAAGCAGGGAATTTATTGTTAACGAGTATGGTAAATTCTCCCTAATTGATGCTCGGATTTTGCACAAAAATGGACAATTTTGGAAGAGGAGATACGATTATTCGAGCTTTTCATAGTTACCGATTCTCAACGATTATAAAAACGAGCTGCGAGGCTCGAATAATCGTATCTCCTCTTCCCGAATTGTCCATTTTCGTGCGCAATCTAAGCGCGAATTAGGGAGAAAATACTGTCCAGTAATGTCTCTCTAATTGACGCGCAGATTGTGCTGAAACATGGGCATTTTGGGAAGAGGAGATACGATTATTCGAGCTTTTCATAGTTACCGATTCTCAACGATTATAAAAACGAGCTGCAAGGCTCGAATAATCGTATCTCCTCTTCCCGAATTGTCCATTTTCGTGCGCAATCTAAGCGCGAATTAGGGAGAAAATACTGTCCAGTAATGTCTCTCTAATTGACGCGCAGATTGTGCTGAAAAATGGACACTTTGGGAAGAGGAGATACGATTATTCGAGCGCCGCGGCTCGTTTTCATAGTTACCGATTCTCAACAACTATAAAAACGAGCTGCGAGGCTCGAGTAATCGTACCTCCTCTTCCCAAATTGTCTATTTTTGTGCAGAATCTGAGCGTCAGTTAGGAAGACATTACTGTATTTGAAATGCGGCATATCCTTACTGACGCTCAGATTGTCCACTAAAATGAATAATTTGGGAAGAGGAGATACGATTATTCGAGCCTTGCGGCTCGTTTTTATAATTGTGGGCAATATATAACTATAAAAATAAACCGCTGTTGCTGAATATTCTTACTAAATAATCTTGCTGAATATTATTAATGTATAATCTTGCTAAATATTATTACTATATAATCTTGCCAAATATATATATATTCTTACCATATAATCTTGCTGAATATTGTTACTAAATAATCTTGCCAAATATTCCTACCAAAATATCTTGTTCAACATTCCTACTAAATAATCTGTTGATTGTTCACAAAAATGGACAATTTAGGAAGAGGAGATACGATTATTCGATCCTTTTATAGTAACAAATTGTCAACAACTATTGAAACGAGCTGGAAGGCTCGAAAAAATCGTACCTCCTCTCCCCAAATTGCCCATTTTTGTACGCAATCTGTGCGTCAATTAAGGAGAATTTACTGTATTTATGTTTTGAACTATTTTACATGGAGAGGTGTCGTTTACATTGTAAATTCTAGGGGATGAAGGTGTAATGAACTGTAGGGAAATCGACCCCACCATTCTATGCTGGACATATCTGTCTAACTTCGTTTCTATGGGTTTTCTTTATTTTTATGGTATTCGTTATTTTGTTTTCGAGGGTGTGAATTAATGTCAACCCTTTCATGGACTCTGGGAACTAAGCTTCAACCCCCCCCCTCCCGCACACACTTTTATTGCGCATTCGGACGCCTGGCTCAAATATTTCCACCGTTGAAATGTGCTGCCATCTGTATATAGGTTCCAGCACCCTTAATTCTGAGGGGTGAAAAATTATAAATAACAGGAAAGCGAATAACATTGCTTTGATATAGGATTACTATACGATAAAATTATGGTAAGTGAATGTCCCAATTCGTTTGAAAGTTTATATTGTGCCCATGAAAGGGTTGAAGCCTTAATCGGTTAATATTGTTAATAAATATTAATCAGAATTACTGAGTGCAAGTAAATTTAACCCTTTGCACGCGAAGCTATTTTAACCATAAATCTAGAATAATTTTTCTAGCTTATAGCCAGCATTTTCTGGCATATTTTTATGGCATTTCGTATGAGAAAGTGCATTTTATGCGTATGAAATTGCGTCTTGTGTTATATTAATTCTGTTAGTATAAAAATTATCTTGGAACGTAATGTAACAAATTTTTTTTAGTGATGCCTCGGAGTCACCACTCTAATTCAAAGGGTTAATATTGGAACATTCCAAACTGTATGAATTAATATAAAATAATTACATTAACGTATATTGACGATGTCTAACGT